ATAAATTTAGACTTTCAAAGCTTTTTAATACACTTCACATCAGTCTGGCGGGTTCATTTCTGCTCCTTTACTGCCAAGCCTGGGGGAAGGGACTGCTTCAGTTTCTCTGACTTTTCTTTGTCTATGATGACCAAGGAATAAAGGTATCTGCTGCACCAGACTTTCAACTTCACATTATCTTTGTTCTTCTTTATCTTGATGGACTTGGCATCCTTCCTCCTGGCTGTGAGCAGAACATCCTTGATTTCCTCAATTTTTTGAGGCATGGAGACGAGGCGCTCAGAGGGCACGGACCTCTACCTACGGAAAGACAGCCACCGGAGAGAACCGAAGATGATGCAAAACAAGGGGAATTCATATTTCTTACTGTTTGCCTAATTTGTTGTCATGTAACTGTTCAGTCTTGTGATATTTTGTATTACTGTGGTATCAGTCGTAAAAAATAGCTCTTTGATTATAACTGCATTTGACTTCTCTCTTTTCTTAACTGATCTGGTTAAAGGTATGTCAATTTTATTTTTCAAAAATCAGTTATTAGTTTTACTGATCTTCTATATTACTTTTTTCTAATCTTTATCTGATTTATTTCTTCTCTGTTATTACTTCCTTCTAATTTTGGACTTTATTGTTTATTGGCTCTGTATGGATTCACTTACAGGTTTTCTGCTTAGTTACTCTACTGTTATGAATGGGGTACTAAAGTCCTCTACTATTTTTACATTGCTGTTTATTTCTCCTTCATTTCTGTTTGTACTTATTTGGTTTATATATTTAGCTGCTCCAAGGTTTAAGGCATAAATACTTTAAATTTATATCTTGATGAATCGGCCCCTTCACTCCCATTTTCTCCTCTGAGGGTTTATTACATAAAGTCTACGTTGTCGAAGTATGAGATCCATGATCTCTTTCGATTGCCATTCCTGCGGAACACCTTTTCATCCACTCCAGCTCAATCTATGTGTGACTCTAAAGCTAAAATAAGTCTTTGGTAGGTAGCATATCCATGGATTTTACTTTTTTACCAATTCAGTCTCTGTACTTTGGGAAGTTTAATCTATTTACTTTTAAAGTAATTATTAATACCTAAGAACTTACTATTTCCATTTAAAAATTGTTTTGTTTTATTATTTGTTTGTTCTTCCTTCCTCTCTTGGTATCTTCTTTTGTGATAGGATTTATTGTTCAATCCTTGATTCCTTTTTATTAATCTTTTGTGTGTACTTTAGCTTTTCCTTTGCCAAAACCTGAAGCTTACATTTCTATTTCAAGATGTTAACAAATTAACTTTGTTCCTATATGAAATCTCTGCACTCCTATTTTCTTCTCCCCTCACATTTTAGATTACTAATGGTATAATTTATAACTTTTAATATTTCCATTATGAAATTATGGTCATTATAGTTTCTAATGCTTTACAAACTTTTAAATCAGAGTTAAACGTAATTTATTTGATGCTATTAAAGAATTCTGTATTTATCTTTACTAAGTAGATTCATTTCAGATCGAGAGCACTGTCTGGCATTTCTTGTAAGGCAGGTCCGGTGACCATAAACTACCTTCACTTTGCTTAGTAAAGTTTGTTTTTCTTCTTCTCTCATACTAGCTTTGTTGGCTATCATATTCTTGGCTGGCAGATTTTCTTTTTGTATTCTGAATACACCAAACCCTCTATGCTTTCCTGAACTGTAAGATTTCTGTTGAGAATTCCTGTAGTCTAATGGGGCCTTCCTTTTTTATGATTGCTCCTTTGTATGCATTGAGTCACTTTTTTCTTATTTTAAAATATTGTTTCTGACTTTTCACAATTTAATTGTAAGTGTCCTGTTATAGACCTTTCTGTATTCAGTCGTTTGATTTTCATGAACCTGCATGCCCCTTTTTCTCTCCATATTTGGGAAGTTTTCTGTGATTATTTCTTTAAATAGACTTCAAAACTCTTTCTCTTCTTCTAAAATTTCTATAATGTATATGTGGTTCAGTTTGATGATGGTCCCTAAGTCCTGTGGGTTTCACTGTTTTTCATTCATTTTGCTCATCTGAAAAGAGTATTTCAAATGATCTGCCATTGAGTTCACTAAATCTTATGCTTGATCAAGTATGCTATTAAAGCTCTCTACTGATTTTTTTGGTTCAGTTTTACTATTCTTTTCCTCTAGGATTTTTCACTTCTAGATATATGTATGCTGAGGAAAAGTTCTATCACCGATCTACACCCCAACAATTTGGTAAGATTCATTTTTCAAGTGATTTCTAGTTCTTTGTTCATAACTTGCTTTCCTAATTTGATTAAATTGTTTATCATGGTTTCTTGCAGTTAACTCAAATTCCTTAAGAGGACTAAGTTAAATTATTATTCAGACAATAGGTTTCCATTTCTTCGGAGTGAATTATTGGAGCTTTACTTATTTCGTTTAATGATGTTATGTTTTCTACATTCTTCAAAATCTTGTATGCTTGCATTGGTGTCTGACATTTAGGAAGCAGCAACTTCTCCCACTCTTAATCAGTTTGATTCAGCAGAGACAGTCATTCTTTTAGTTCAGCTTTTGGCTGTGGATGGGCCAGCACGTAACATCTGTGTGTAAATAATGCTAACTATCAAGTTCTCTATTAGGTCAGGGATGCTGGCCATGCTCTGAAACCAAGTGGGGCTGCTGGGTGGGCATTGCTGTCACCCAAGCTGGGTTCCATAAGTACCTCTGGTCAGGTAGGATCACAGGTGATGTTCCTTGGCCATGTGTTGTCAATGGTTTTACTGCAACTGGACAGTGCTATGGGCTAGGCTCCACAACCACACCTGATGTCAGAGGTGGATGGCTATGCTCTCTACTTAAGCAGTGCTGCTAGTTACAGTCTATGCAAGGGGCTACACTATACTGTGTTTCATAATCAGGCAGGGCTAGAAAGCTAAACCTTGCTTATAAGTACAGTTCTGACTGGATTATTTGCTTGGATAGGGCTGTTGGCTTTACTTGACAGTTGGAGCTATTAATGCAAACCTGGTGAGGCTGACCAGATTACACTCTATGGTTGAGTGGGTCCATAGGCTGAGCTTCCTGATTAAGTAGGGTTACTGAGTCTGTTTTATGGTCTGGTAGGGTTGATGGCTCAGCTCCCTGGCCAGTGTGGCTTAGGGTATACTAAAAAAAACAGGCCTAGGCTACAGACTGAGTTTTGAACTTACACACACACACACACACACACACACACACACACACACACACAATGCTCAGTTTGAGGTTTCTATATATCGTCCTTGATTTAATTTCCTTTAATTTCTTTGTCTAGCATCTTGAGTTGAAAAATTAGGCTGAATTCCATAGATTTTCATACTTTTCACCTTTCATTCTGACAGAGCTCATTAACTTACTTTTTATTTTTACTTTAATCATAAATCATACGGACCTGTTTGGGATTTCTAAGTAAATAGAATTTAGCTACTTATTTTGTCAAATCATAGTTATATTATACTATATTCAGGGTAAATAGCCATAATAATTTTCTCTTTTTTGTATCTTTGTACTTTGTGGTTTAAGATTTTTCTGTGAATGTTCCACACAAAGCTCAAAAGAAAGTAGCTTTGTCACATTTTTGTCTATGTGAATTATTTATCTCCAAGTATAGTATAGACTGTACTACAAGATAGTAAATATATGTATGGATTCATCAATATCTTTTTTGTATTTCCATCAAACTTTAACATGTTGTTAGGCACATAAACATTCATGACTTGCATTTTCTTGGCAAATTATTAATTTCTATCAATAAGAAATAGCCCTTTTTGTCCTTTCTGATGATTAGGAATTGTTCCAATATCTGAAGGCATTAAAAAAATAAATACTTTCTTGGAAGCACATTTCTACTCACAGCTAATATACTTTCATTGTTATAACTTACTACATAAAGCCAAAATTGTTCAGGAAATAGGTAGTAAACTATTTTGTTTCAATCGTATTAGATCTAGTTTTCCAACCTTTTTAAGTTTTTCAGTCTTTATCAATAAGCCTTTGTATTGTTAGTTGTGTATAATTTTGAGTTTCATTGAATCATTATGAATTGATTAGAATAGTCTTTCCAGTAAGATTAGACTTTGAAGAAGGTAACAACTGGCTACTCAGATACTCTAGAATCACCATTCCCATCATGGTTTCTTGAAGAAATGATGGATTTTTTAACAATTTTAATTGTAAAGAAAAGAGCTTTTTTTCCTCATGGTTCTGGAAGTTCAAGATCAGAGGGCTACATGAGATAATGGCCTTACTGGCAGAGTTACAAAGTGGTGCAGGGTGTCACATGGCAGGCACAGGGAGTACACAAGCGTATGTGCACATCTTAACAGCTTCTTAAACAGTTGTACTGACATAATTTACAAAGTCTAAAGTTTACTCATTTAATGCATTTTTATTAAGAATTTTAAATTGTTTAAGAATTTTAATTTTCCTTTTTAGTACTATAATAAGATCAAAAGAGTTGTTGAAGTGTATCATTGGACTGTCGTGAAACCATATTTAAGGCACTAAATCAGTGTTAAACTATTTATATCTTAAACAGTTGTACTGACATAATTTACAAAGTCTAAAGTTTACTCATTTAATGCATTTTTATTAAGAATTTTAAATTGTTTAAGAATTTTAATTTTCCTTTTTAGTACTATAATAAGATCAAAAGAGTTGTTGAAGTGTATCATTGGACTGTCGTGAAACCATATTTAAGGCACTAAATCAGTGTTAAACTATTTATATAAT